TGCCATCAGCCTCCCAAGCTAAGCAGGGTCCTGGGTGGTCCCAGTGTGGATGGAAGACCACCCAGGAACTGGGCTCAGGGGGAGGGGCCCTTTGCTGTTACCCCCATAGGGTGCTGGGGGTGTAATCCAGGGGTGGCACCTCCCCTTGCGACCTTAATTTAGCCTTGGGTTATTCCAGGTTATCCCTAATTTACACAGATTATCCCCTATTTGTCCCCTCTGCCCCAGGGTTACTCCACCCAGCAATCCCTGCTATCCTGGGTGCCCCCTATAGCTTCCCCATCTGTCTCCACTGTCCCAGGAAAACCCCATGTATGTATCTCCCCTATCCCAGGATAACCCCCCATGTGGCTTTGCTGGCCTGGGATAACCCCCCAGTTTGTCCCATCTATCCCAAAATAACTTTCCATGTGCCCCCACTATCCATGTAAATCTTTGTCAGTCCCCACTCTCCCACAATATACCCCCCTCTATCCCCACTATTCTAGGATAACCCCATATATGTCCCCATTATCCCAGGATAACCTTTCTGTCTGTCCCTACTATCCCAGGGTAACCTCCCCCATATATCCCAGGATAACACCTATATATATCCCAGCTAACCCACTGCCCTCCCCCCCTCCAATTTACCTGCTTGGGCTTGAACCTCTTCTGGTAGCGCGGGGGAAAGAGCCAGGTGGGCCCTGCTCCATCGGGGGCAAGGGTGGGGCTGGGGGTGGGGCCAGAGGTGGAGCTAGCACGCTGCAGCTGCAGGAAGGTCAGGATGTTCTGGACTTCGGCCCTGTAGGTGCTGTCGGCCATGGTGCGGCCCCGGGCAGCCAGACGGCAGGCGCCCATCCAGCGGGCGTATTGCTTCTCCTGAGGGGCGAGGCAACAGCTGGGGGTGGGGCATCACCCAGGGGGGCGGATCTCTTCTCCGCCCATTCCCGTTTGTCCCCACTATCCCAGGCTAGCCAGTCTGTCCATATTATCCAAGGATGAATGGTTTCCTGTCTGTCGCTACTATCCTGGGATAATCCAGTTCTCATCGTGATACCACTATCCCAGGACAACCACTGGCTGCCTTTATTATCTCGGGATAACCCACTGCCTGTCTGTCCCTTCTATCCTGGGATGATGTCCCTTCCCCGCTTCATCTGTCCCCACCTTCCTGGATAATCTGCTTCTCATCTGTTTCCACTGGCCTGGAATGATTTACTTCTCATGTGTCCCCACTCTCCCAGGATTACCACTGCTGTCTTCATTAACCTGGGATGTAACCCACTTCTTGTCTGTTCCCACTGTTCTGGGATAACCGCAGGCTGGCCTTAGTATCCTGGGATACATTTCAACTCTCACCACTATCCCGGGATAACTACTGTCTGGCTCCATTATCTCAGAATAAATTACTTCCCATCTGTCCCTACTAATCTAAAATAAGATATTTGCCATCTGCCCCCACTATCTGGCCCTATTGTCCCAGGATAAATTGCCTTCCATCTGTCCCCAGTATCCCAAGATAAATCACTTTCTGTCTGCCCCCACTATCCTGGGATAACTGGGATCTGACCTTATTATCCTGAAATAACCCACTGCCTGTCTATTCCCAGTATCCTGAGATAATTCCCTTCCCCGCTGTTGATCCCCACTATCCCAGATTAGCACAGCCTTCTGTTCCTTCTCTCCTGAGATAAATGCCCTGCTGGCTGTTCCTGTTGTCCCAAGATAACCCCCTGTCTGCCCCTACCCCTTGGGGTGTCTCCACCGCCATCTGTGCTATCTCATGGAATAACCTCCCCCTGTTTGTCCCAGTATCCCAGGATAAGTTTTCTACATCTGGCTCTGCCCCACCTGTCTCTGTTATCCAAGGCTAACCTCCTCCTGTTCCCATTATCTCGGGATATATCCTCTACATATAGCTTGGCCCACGTTTGCCTCTGCTATTCCAGGTTAACTCCATCTCCCATCGACCTCTGCCCCCACCCCCATCTATTCCCACTATCCCAAAATAAGTCTCCTATATCTGGCTCTGCCCACATATGACTCCATTATCCCCAAATAGATGCAGAATAAGTTCTCTCTTCCCCCATCTGTCCCCACTTCTCCAGGATAAGCCTCCTATATTTGTCCCCACCCCCATCTGCCTCCACCATCTTGGGATAACCTCCCCCAAGTCTGTCCCCAATATCCTGGGATAAGTCCGTTACATATGGATCCACCCACATCTGCCTCTGCTGTCCTGGGATAACCTCCCATCTGTCCTCACTGTCTTGGGGTAACTCGCTCACACTTGGCCCTGCCCCCTCACTCACGTCCTCGCAGCGCAGATGCACTTCGCTCATGCCCTCGGGCGACGGCACCAGCAGTTTGATGCAGAACTTGCCACCCGATAGGTTGACATCTGGGACGACCTCACAGCCTGGGGGCAGGGCCAGAGGGGGCAAGGTTAGCTGGGGGCGGGGCTTAACAGGTAGGTCCAGAATGGGGCAGAGCCAGCTGGGGTAATGGTGAAGGCGTGGTTAGCCGGGGGCGGAGCCATCAGTAGGTGGGGCTAGCTAGGGGTCAGACCAGAAGGGGCGGGGCTAGAGGAAGCTGGCAAGGACCGTGAGGTGAGGTGAGGCGGGGCTTGCAGAGGGGCCCGATCCTGGGGTCACGAGCGCTGGACCTGGATGCCTCGGTCCTCACCCTTGAGGTTGAGCTGCTGCACCGGCTCCCCCAGCGCCTCCTCCTGGCTGCGGTAGCACGAGAGCGACGTCTCCTTGAACACGACCCAGTGCGGCTTGAAGCCCTTCAGGGTCAGCTTTCGCGGCCTGGGGGGGTGCAGAGGGTGGGACGCAGGCGACCAGGCCCTGGCCCCCCCGCTCTGCCCTCCACAGCCCCTCCCCTGCCAGAGACGGGCTCACCCCTGCCCGGGCTCACCTGAACACCCGCAGAGTTTCCCTCAGCTCAGGGATGGCCGTCAGGTTTTCCTGGGGGAGCCAAGAGTCACCTCGAGTCTCGCTGCCCCCCGCCAGCCCGGCCGCTACCCCTCCTTCCCAACCCGCAGCCCCCAGCCCGGCCAGTGCCCCTCCCTCCCGCCCCGCAGCCCCTCACCAGCATGTCAGTGGGGGCCGTGCGCCCCTCCAGCTTGACCTCCAGCCTGCTGAGGGCCGAGTCCAGGTCATCGAGGGTGGGGGCGTCCCCGGAGGGGGCCGTGGGGTCCGTGCTCAATGACAGCTTCTCAATGTGGTACTGGGGGGAGGGGAGCAGGGATGGGCTCTTCCACCCAGCCCCCCCACTGCT